TGCACGTCTTGGAGGTGCTCAGAGCTTTGGAGCAGAAGCCCCTCTGAGCCCGCCGGCGTAATACATCTGAGTACTCCAACCCTCCGAGTGGTGCTTGTTTCTTGACTGGCCTGTCGTTTCCGTAACAATACAGTATTATATATCAATTGTATTTCAGTAAAGCTAGAAAACAAAATAAGATGGTATATAAGCCCCAAGTTCTGACTGCTTCTTTCAGCCACGTTTTCTGTGAGCTCCTATGTAGGTAGATGAATAAATTTTATCTTTTCTCATGTTAATCTGTCATTTGTCAGTTTAACTCACAGGTCCCCAATCACTGGGATCTAAGAGGGTAGAGGAAGCTTTTCCTTCCCAACATGATTATAATAAAACAGTACTAATAAATAAAAATTCATTGAGCATGTGCTCAATATGCCGGCTGTTATAAACCTTTAATCCTCCCAGCAGCCTTTGAGATGGTGCTATTGTTAGTCCCGCTTTATAAATGCAAAAATTGAGGCATAAAGAGGTCAAGTTTTTTTTTTTTTTGAACCTAGTCATACCCAGAGCTCAAGCCTGTGAGCTGGGGTTAAGTCACATGTATCGGGAGTCCTGCTCTGCCTCTCCTGGGCTCAGTTTCCCTGTCTTCATGGTGGGATGATAAGGTCTCTCCTAGCTCTGACAGTCCTCAATCACAGGACACCAGGGCTGACAAGGAGACCAGCTTTAGTGTGACCTGTCTACAAGGTCAGCAGAGAGGATGGCAAGAAGCCACTGGCTGCAGAGGGAGGGGTTCTGAAGGCCTAAGACTTGGGATTCCCACCCATCTCTGCCACTGCCTTGCCGTGGGCCTCTGGGCCAGTTGCTTGCTCTCTCTGAGTCATGGTGCCTTCATCTCTCATCTACTTGGTCCTCAGTCTAGAGGATCCAAGGAGAGGGTATAAAATATATAGAGCATACGCAAAATGTGGAGTATATGACTGCATGAATTATGACTCCTGAGTTCCATGATATGGTGCTACAAAACCTTATCAGTATCAACATATGAGGGTTGCCTAATTTGCATATTTATCAGACTTACAGCCAAAAGTGAGGGGTTGTGGAGCCAGCATGGATGCACCAGTCCTGTCAAGTCACACCTGAAGTTTAGATAATTTGCATACAACCAATCATAGTGAAGAAATAAATGGCAACACTGTTAGGGGAACTGTGGTATGATTAAAAATATTACGTATTATATATTATATTTATATTATAACATTATATATCTTATATGTGAATATTTTATATATAATGTACATGTAATATCTATGTATTTATTATTTAAATATATTTATATGTATAAATGTATCTATAAATTTAAATATATATATATAAATTTAAATATGTATTTATTTATTCCTGGCATAGAGCTCCTAAAACCCTTGGAATTTCCTGTGTGATGGGAGTGTCTTTTATTATTCCTTAAGAAGCTTCATTGATTAGAGAGAGAGAGAGAGAGAAGAGAACCTACACCAGCAGGGAGTCACAGTGGACATCCACCTAGAGCTTAAGGTACCATCGTCCTTTTACTCTTGCCCTTAAGGAAGGCATATATATTTTACGTACTAACAGAAACTTTTATCTGAATAGGTGGAATAATTCTATATTGGGATTTTTTATGTCAAATAATTCTGTAATAAATATGAATAATTTGGAAATGCTACCTATCATATCCTGGGTCCTCTGAAAAACAACTTGATGCAAGGATTAAGGTACTAATACTTTATTTGGGAGGTGCTAGCCCAGGGCAGCAAGGGTGAAGAAAAGAGAAGTAAGGTGGAGAAAGCTGGAATAAAGCAGATTGCTCCGGGAACCTGAGCAAGCACCAAGGTTTGCACCCCCCGATGCTATTCTGGTTGGGTTCCAAAATTGCTGTGAAGCCAGTAGAATTAGTGTAATACATTCATTGCAAATTGATACACAGCTTCTCCACCTGTGAAATGAGGGAGCTGGCTGAGGATGACAGGCCTCCCTACTCCAGTTCTGACTGTTTCTTGGAGGGGAAGGCTGCCAGGGGCCCAGCACAGCTCACTCACACCCCACCTTCTGCTGCCTGTGACCACACCTCAGCTCTTTCCAGGGGATGGCCACTATAAGGGCCCAGGCTCACAGCTCCTCTTAATCCTTGGTGATCTTAGGCAAGACCCAGAACATATCCAAGCCTCAGTTTCTCCATCTGTAAAATGGGGCAATGATGCATATCTTCAAAGTTGTGGTCAGAATTCAACAAGATGCATGTGTGTGTATTTGTGTTTTTATGTCGGGCACAAAGCCAGTGCTACAGAGGGGAGGGTATAGCTCAGTGGTAGAGCTGTGAGGTCCTCTTGTCCTTTGCCCTGACTTTGTGGCCTTCCTCCCTGGTGAGATGCCCCTTCCAGCAGCTGGCCCTGAGCATCTGGTCACAGCTGAGAAATAGAATCCATACCACCCTGGCTTGGGGCCGGTGTGGTGTGAAAAGTGCCCCTTCTACATTCTCTTTATCAGGAAGTAGACGCCTGGGACATGACAGTCATTCCCCTCCAGGGAACAAACAACCATTCTTGATAAGTGAAAATATTTTTTTAAGCCAAGAAGCTGCTGCTCTAAATTTGCTAAAACTGAGTCGATATTTGGCCTCATTCCCCAGGACAAATATCAGGATGGAGAAAACTTTTACAGTTGTGGGTGCTCTATCGACCAATGAATGCAACCAGTTATGTATTGTGCAGATGGGCAGTGAACTGGATGTTTGAAAATGTTACCTTTCACTTGTTAGGAAGCAAAAGACACATTTTTCAAAAGTATTTACAAAAAGAGGAAAGTGGCACAGTGCAAATATGAAATGGAAGAGCCGATGTGGATCATTCATGTTCCGTAACAAGCTGCATTTTTGTTATTGTTGTTGGACAAGTTGTTGCCAAGTTGCAGTGCCCTGTGAATGCTCCCCCAAAGTGGGGGGATTTCTCTCTGAGGAGGGAGGGCTTGGGAGTCTCCTTGGCCTTTCCTCGGCCCAGGACCCCCAGGTTTCTCAGACTTGAAGACTGAAGAGCTCGGGAAGGAACTTGTGGGGCCATTCATCCCTCACTTGGAGGACACATACAGTCAGAGCTGGCTTCATGGGTCTGAGACCAGGCAGCCCACAGGGCCCTGCACTCAGAAGGGCACCGAGCTTGGTTTAATGCACTGGGATTAATCAGCATCTTGAAATTCTTTGTAATTTTATCTTTGAATTTGGGTCTTGTAAGTGAAGTCCAGTGGGGTGAGGGAGCCAGTGCCTGAGGCCTGGGGCCTCCTGCTCACGGCGTGGTCCTACCTCCTGCTACCTCCCTGCCTCCCTGGAATGAGTTTTCATCCTCTGATACGCCGGTCTCATCTCGCCTTCTCCTCCTCCCTGCAACCACTGGCCATCTTTCTTTGGACCAGCACAATATGGTGTGTTCAGTGGGATGACTTGGACAGGGCAAGCCTTTCTCCCACTCCCATCCGGGTGCCTAGCATAACCTGGCTTGCAGGTTGGGACATGGATGGGAAGGGAAGATGCCTGACTCAACTTCCTGGAGCATCTGTCTGGTGGCTGACAGGAGGGGCCACTGGTAGTTGGTGGACTCCAAATGTGCATGCCAAGTCTTGGGGCTTGCCTACCCCAGTGCCTGCCTGTGAGGGTCTGCACTTGCCCCATGAGTATTCCCATGCTAGAAGGAATGTGACATTAAATAAATAAAAAGAGCATTATGATGGGCTGAAAGAGAAATTGCAGAAAGAAGGAAAAAGCTTTACCTTTCCCCCTGTACAGGGGATCCTGAGATTTCATTCTGCACTGGGCCTGGCAGATTACGTAGCCAATCCTGTATGCAGTGTTGTGCTGGAGCCAGCTCTCCCTGGCTCCCAACTCCACGTTGGGTGATGTCATGTTAGAAGCTTGAAAGGGCCGTGGTGATAACATTAACAACACAGAAAGCAGGCAAGTGCTGCAAAATAGGACATTGTTTTCGACCTGGTTGTTAAACATTGACCAGCACACCATTGTACAGAGCACTCAATAATGCTGAAAACTTCTTACTCTTGTTATTTCATTGACTAAAGCAGGCCAGCCTAAACTTCTAGGGGGACAGTGCAGAGCCCTGGATGGAAGACTCGAGAAGAAAACAGCACTGACCCAGACCATTCCACCACAGTTTCAGGGATGAAGAAACAAGCTCAGAGAGGTAATGGACTCACTTAAGACCACACAGGAGGACAACTACTGAGCTCACATTGGGGCCCAAGGTTCTGGCTCTTAGAAGAGGCTCTTTAGAGCCACATGTCCCCTGTCCCGTGCAGTGCCTAGCACAGAGTTCTGAACTGCAGGAATAAACTGGGATGAGGGGGCTCAGGAGGAGTAGGCAAAAGGGAAGCTGGGGGAAGGACTCAGAAGTCCCAACCCTACACTTTTCTCATCTTCCAGGATCCTCACAGCCTGAGGCAGAGGCCCGGGCAAATGGGCAGTAGGACAGAATGTTCCAGCAACCACTGACTAGATCAGAGACACAAATATTTGCTAAGCCCAGGGGCCTCCCAGACATGCTGGCAGGGTTCAGAGGAACAAGTGTATGGAGACTCTCCCTCTGGAGCCAGGGAATCCAGGAGAGGGAGAAACCCCTCAAAGAGTTCCCCCCAAACCCTCGACCCCATTTGCTTCATCACATTTGTATATGAGCCCCTCACACCCTCAAGTATGTAAAGCCGAGTCACAAAGCACCTTCTCAGCCATGAGCAGAATAGGGAGCTGACCCCCATTTTACAGATGAGGAAACTGAGGCCCGCAGAGGGAAGAGGGCACGCCCAAGGGCTGGGGAATGGGAGAACCTGAAGTGGAGGCAGGATGGGAAAGCTCACCCCCAACTCCGACAGTCTCGGATCCTGCATCTGGTCTGCTGCTCCCCTACTCGAGAACTGCCCTGGACGCTCACTGGCCTGAATGAGTTAGTTGCTAGTCCCTACTGACCCCTAGACCCTCTTCTCTGGCCAGACCTCCCAAACTCAGTTTTTACAGCTCCCACAGGCTGCTTTCTCCCCAAGGGAACCTCCTCTCTCTTCTTACCTCCCAGCTCAGGAAGCCCTTCCCCCCTCACACTCTCCTCAAATCTGCACCCTCCTGCCTTATGAATCTCCAACCTGGCCTCAGTGCAGGAAGCCCTCCTGGACTGCTCCTGCTCACACAAGAGGGCTCTTGTCCTCTCAGGAGTAGGAGCCAGAGGTGTCTGGGTCCCTTTCAGGAGTGGGAGTTAAGCAGGGGTCTATGTCCTAGTTGCAGCTTTGTCACCAACTTACTGGGTGACCTGGGGCTACCCTGCTCTGTCTGAGCCTCAGCTCCCTCATCCGGATTCAGTTTGCCTGCCTCACCAGGGAATTGAGTCTGGGTGGGAAAACTTTGGCAGTGGGCACAGATCACAGCTGCTGGGGTTCTTGTTGGCATCAGCATTGCTCCAATCTTGGGCTCCATCCAAACCCATTGTCAGCCAGCCACACACTGTCTCTACTTCTGCCTTTTCCCTAGGGGCAGGAGGCCTGAGACTGGCCTGAGAGCTCAGCTGGGGTGGGTGCTGGGAGCACAGGCACTCCTGTCCTCCTCCACTAGCCCCAGACAGCCAGGCCTGGGTATGGAGCTGGGAGGGGATGCACTACAAGAGGTTGGAGGCCACCTTGAGTCCCAGCTCCTAGGCAATTCTGCCCTTCAGCCCTCCAGGGTGTTAACTTTTCCCAATCAAGAGCAAACTCTATCTCCATGGCAGCAAAATTAGGAAGGGCCCCTGGGAAATGTTGGAGCCCTCCCCTCCCCCAGGCAGACTTTCGGAAGGCCCAAAGAAGTGTTCCCCACAATGCCTAGAATCAGAGACTGTCATGGCAATGCATCATTTAGAAGCCTGCTCCCCATCGTACAGATGAGGAAACTGACACAGAGAGATGCAGTGACTTGCCACCACTGCAGTGAAGACGCTAGGATGTTCAGATAGCAGGGCCCTGGTCTTGAAACTGCGTGCGCATAGCAGGCTCCGGCTTTTTATTAAGTTTCAAGGTTATTTTGAGTTGCTTTGGGGGCTCAGGCCCTTTCAGAGTTACGATTGGCACCGCCACTCCTCCAGGTCTTAGAAGGTCTAACGGTGAAACAAGACCAACACCTGGAGCTTTGCCCAGGGGCTCTGGACCCTTGGAAACCGAGAGAGCACGGAGCAGCGCTCCTGCAGTGAGGGGCGTGGGCTCCGCGGGGCGGGGCGCGCCGGGGGCGGGGCCGAGAAGGCCGTGACTCCACCCCGGGTAAACTCTCCTCTCGGGTAAACAAGCGCCGGCGGCGCTTGGGGCTTCTTCTGCAAGTCCGGCGCCAAGTTACATCACGGTTCCCGGGAGCTTCCCGCCCCAGCGGCCAGGTCCCCGAGGCCATCGCTCGCCCGCCCGCCGCCTGTGTCCGAGGAGCAGAGGGCCGGCCAGGGCAGGAAGGCTTCCAAGTTTTCCCCGGAGGCCCCTGGGACTTCGTTGAAACCGGGTTCAGCTCGAGGATAGGGGCACCGCCGTGGCCGCACAGGAACTGCACCTCAGTTTCCCCACCTGTGAAACCAGGAGGCTGCGTTAGTCTTGTGCCTCCCAGCTCGGGGAGGAGAGATGCGCCCTGAGCCCAGGGCGAGGGGCCGCCCCCAGATGGCTGTGACTCGGAGCCGGGCTTTCTACTTTAGCAGTGTAGTGGGTGGTCGCAAAGCTGAGTGTTTCAGAACTCAGACCCTCCCCTCCGACGGGCCTGGGTGAAAACTCAGGGGCGCAGAGCAAGGATGACTTTGTAGGATCCTAGCACCTTCCTCTCCCGACTTGCTGCGGGACACCGACCCTCTGGGTAAAAGAAGACCTGCGCATTACTCTCACAGGGGGTTTGTATCAGCGCTTTGGAAAAGGCATTGGGTTGCATAACGAAGACGAAGATTGCCGCTCAATATCAACTGCTTGCACCTCGGAGCCTGATCGAGCAACAGACTGCGTGCAGAGGCAGAGCTCCTGGGAGAGGCTCAGCGGAGTGTGGGCCGGAGCTGGATAGGGAAGCAGCAGAAGGGATGCTTGCCGGATCTCCAGGAGCTGCCCAGTCCTGGCACTCCGCTATTTGGCGATTCTGCACCCGCGCTGTCCAATAAGGTACCCATGAGCCACGTGTGGCTGTTGAGTACTTGAAATGTAGTGTGGGGACCCACTGGAACCCAGAGTTGGCATGAAGATTATTTTAAGCTGAAGATATTTGAGATTCAACAGATGCAGCAAAAAGCCTTCTGGGAGCTTCCCTTATCTGAGGAAAAGCAGCAACTTCTGGGAAATGAGGCTACCATAAATCCCCTCTCCAGGGGAGTCTCATGGCCTTGAAGAAGATAAGAGACCATTCATACCAGTATAGACAAATAGTATCACAAACTTTCTTATTTTCTGTCGATTCTCCTAAAATCCCATTTATTAGTTCCTAAAGAAATGTGTGTTGTTTTTTTTCTTCCATAGAAGCCACTATTCCCCCTCCCTTTTCCCTACTAGGTTAGGTTTATAAACCTTTAACTTGAATCATTTAATGAGCCAGGTACTTCCTTTGTTGGCTACCATATGCATAGGAAATACACTTTTTTTCTCCTGTTAATCTGTCCTTTGTCAGTTTAATTCTCTGGCCTCTGCAACTGAACCTAGGAGGGTAGAGGAAAAGATTTTTCCTCCCGTGCAGTGGCTTCTTGGCATTGATATATGTGAGAAGTGTAAAATACACACAGGATTTCAAAGACTTAACTTGAACTTGTGAACGAAAAACCCTGCAAACCATATCAATAAACAAAGAATGCTGAAACCATCAAGTCACCAGTGGCTGCCGCCACCCCCCAGTGAAGACAAGCCTGCAGCCCGGCCTGTGCAGCCACTCACCATGGTGCACTCTGAGGGAACTCAGAACAAGAAAGGACAAGATACTGGCCCTAGATAGCTAGATGCTTGTCAAAGGAATGAATTCAGTGAGCCCAAATGTTTGCTTCCTCCCATACATAGAAGAGCACTAAATTCTTTAACTTGAGATGCCTGGTTTTCTTTAGACAACAAGTAATCTTTTGTTGTTCCAACTACCTGGTCTTTGTTGTAAAGCTCCTGTATATCCTAGCTCCTCCCCTACCTCTTCAGAGCAGTCCCTCCGAGCGATCTGAGAGGCTGTCATCCCGGCTCCAGTCCTCCCGCCAAATAAAACATAACTCTCAACTTTTAGGCTGCACATTTATTTCAGTCGACAAACTAAAAGAATGTAAAGTATGTCAATAAAATCATATATTGATCACATGTGAAATAATATTGTGGCTAAATTGGGTTAAATGAACTATATTAAAATTAATTTCACCTGTTTTCTTTTTCTTTTTTTGTGTTCACTAGAAAAAACTTTAAAAACATATGTGGCCGGTATTATATTTCTATTGGATAGAAGTACTAAATGTCAGGTGACCTCGTGCCTTTGGGTTTACTTTTTACCAAGTAACATCAACACAGCTTTATTAACTAGAAGCTCTGTGTCAGGTCCTGAGCAGCTCGAGGTGGGGCGTGGGGTTGGATGGAGGGTCAGTGGGAGAAGGCAGAGGCACTGTGCCAGTCCTCAGGAAGCTGCCAAGCCCCTCTTGGCTCCCAGCTCAGCCTGGCTGGGTTGCAGTCCACCCTCCCCTCCTCCACAGGACACTCAGGCCAGCATAAGGCTGGGCAGAGGGTTCTGGGGCCTGCCAGGGCTCTGGGAACTCAGGGAAGGAACTCCAGGCAGGCAGGGTTCAGAAGACAGTGTGGCCTGTGGCCAGAAACCATGGCTGGCCCCTGAGAGCTGTTCCCAAAGCCAGCACCACAGATGAGCCTGTCAGCTGCCCAGTCCCAGGCCTCACTGCACAGCACCTCCTGGCCATCTCAGTGCCAGCAGAACCCTCTACCAGCCCTGCCAGCACCACATGGCAGTGATGGAACAGGCTCCCAGCTCGCTCTTCCTCTCTGCCACCTCCATTCCGCAGGCTCTGCTTGATTAAAAGATGTTCCTGACAATCATTCAGAGATACAAGCTGGAGTCTGGGAAAGAAAAATATCCCAGGCTCACACACACAAAACCGTACAACTTCTGCAGCTGGCGTTTCTGATTAACAGCCCACACCTGGTAATTTGGAGGGCTGGTCCTGGTTGATGACCCACGTTTAACCCATGCAGCTGATATGAATGTGACAGCTTTACAGCCCTGTAAAGCTAACCAGAATTGTACATAGTTAAACAACCTTGTCTAACATTCCTTTTTCTTCTCCTGTATAAACTTGCTCATAATAATAACAGCTAACACTCTTAATATGTCTATTGTGTGCCAGGCACTGTGCTAGTAGCTTACATATATTAATTCATTTAATTTGAATTCAATCCGATTTCAGGCACAACAGCTACTATATGAGGTACGTACTATTATTATCCATTGTTCACGGGTGAGGAAACCGAAGCACAGAGAGGTTAGATCAATTTGCTCGAGGTCATATGGCTAGAAAGGGGCAAAACTTGGATTGAAACCAGGCAGCCTGGGTTTAGTGTTTGTGTTCCAAATCACCTCATTACACAGCTTCTCCCAGGATACTGGAAGAAACTATTGTGTTTTGTTTTCCTTGACTGGTTCCTTTGCTAACCAGTTTATGATAAACCTGTACCATGTGTTCACAATCTAAAACATGTCTGAAATTGGCTCTAACAAGATTAAAAATGATGCGGTGGGAAAGTGACCAAACTCATGAGGAGGAAGGAAAAAAAAATCCCAGGAGAATAATCATTCTTGGTCCATTTCTTTCTTTTTTTTTCTTGGTCCATTTCTCTACGTGGGTGGGCAAGAAAGCACTGTCTGAGAGCAGGTGCAGCTGGTTAAAAGAGAAACTGCAGCTGAAGGTTGTGAGGCCTGGGTTGATGGGTGCCCTTAGTTTAGCAAGCTGCCTGGGCGGGCTCAGAAATGCAGAGACACAGCTGGTTTGCTGGGGTGGGGGTGGGGGTGGAGGGCTAAATTGCTGCGAGTGAGGATGGGAGAACGAGCATTTCCGATGGGCGTGGGGGGAGCCCTAGGAGATATCAGCAAGCTGTGACCTGAGTCGGGTGTGGCAGGACAGGAAACAGCTGATGGATTTGCAAACAAGAGGGCTACCATTTCCTTGTCTGCCCTGCTTAGCTGTGATGTCGTTCCTTTCCATCATCCTGACTTTTGGTCAAAGCCTAACATCAGTGCTGCTTGTGCCGTCAGTGCTGAGGGGCCCAGGGGCTGCAGTGGGGGTGGGGGCGGGGGACCAGCTTGGGGAGGAGGGGGCCTGGAGGCCACGGACACAGGGCGAGCTGTTGGGTGGGAAGTCTGCCAGGAGAAACATAAGCCACCCTGCCAGCCTCAGAGTTATGGGGGGGTCCCTGGGTTCCCACCAGTTGCAGGTTGGGCAGTGCACAAGGGTGTCCAGCCAAAATGGCATCTAGCTCCTGAAACTCAGCACGTGCTCTGCTCCCAGGCCAGGGCTCTGGCTCAAGGCTCTGTCTGCCCGGAGTGGTGCCTCTTCCCAGGCCGCGTGGGCCGCCAGCAGCCCTGTGTGGAGCCTCTGCCTAACGATGAAGACTTGAGCCCCCTCAGGCAGCAGCCGCTTGGCTCCCACACGCAGTGCAGGCTCTGGGCTGCTGCTCTAGACCATCCTAAGGCAGAGGAAGCCCCATTGGGCCTCTCTGGGCTTCATCCTGACTCGGCCTCCCACCTCTTTCTGGGGCCGCCCCAGGCCAGCCTCCTCTGGGCAGCCTGCCTCTGCAAGTGTGTCCAGGCTATGGGACTGCAAAAACATGGAGATGGGGCCCACGGTGGGGGTCCAGGTGATAGGCTGTAAGCAGTAGACCATCTGAGTTTGCTAATCAGGGTTTGGTTTGGTTTCGAAGAAGTCAGAGCAGACTCAAGGGTTTGTTCATTTATTTATCTGTTCGTTCCTATTGTTTACAGGGATCTGTACACCAGATACACTGATTTTCTTTTCTTTCTTTTTTTTGTTGGTGGGGGGATTAGATTTATTTATTTATTTACATGGAGGTACTGGGGATTGAACCCAGGACCTTGTGCATGCTAAGCATGTGCTCTATCACTGAGCCATATACCCTCCCCCTGATTTTCTAATTTAGTCTCACAGCATACCTTTAAGTATTTTTCTTCCTAAATTACAGATGAAGAACCTGAAAGGCCAGGAGTAGCTGGGACCCAGCCCCTGTCTGGATGGTACAGGTCTTCTAGCTGGGTAGGGTGGGGTAGTGGCATCCCGGGGTTCGCATGGGAGAGGCTGGGCTGGCGAGGGCTTTGCCAGCGCTTTTCGTTCCCTTCCACAATAAGAAAGTAAGAAAGGCGTAACATCCCCATGTCAGAGATGAGAAAATGGGCCACATGTCCAGTGAGTGACTAGTCTGAGGTCACCAAGCCAGACTGGGGTGCGGCCAGGTAGCAAACTTGCCTTTGCCGGTTTGGTGGCAAAACTCAGCTTAAACTCCAGAGCAGTGGGTGCCAGGGACAGGGCTGAGGCTGGGGGGAGGTTTGCGGGGGAGGTAGGGGAGCAAAATCAGAGTGGGAGGCAGTGGGTGATTGAACATCCCAACCCCAGCACACACCCTGCCCTGGAACCTCCTTATTCTGGGCTAGGAAGGAGAGGTTGGGGCCCTTTTAGGTCCCTCTTGCCTTAGGTGACGCACAGAGGTCATGCACACCCTGGTATGAGGTCTGGAGGAGTGCAGGACACTGAAAAAGAACCAATGAGCAAATGAGGAAGGAAGAAAAGAATGAATGAAAAGCCACACTCAAAGGTGTGTCTGTCTGTAGGTGTGTGTGCTCCTGCGGGGTCACATCCTTGTCCTCCTGGTCTTCTAAGCTCTGTGAGTCCGGCCTGGCCGGAAGGGCTCTGTTTGGGGCGTCCTGGCAGGAACACAGGGCTGGGAGTGAGGACTCCTGTGCTTGCTTGACCCCTGGATCTGCTGCTCCCTGGCAGTGAGACCCTGAGCGAGTCACTTCACCTCAGCCTCGGCCTCTGCACAGCAGGCTACTAACCCATAGCTCAGGAGGCTGTTGTCCACAACAGTCCACTAAGCTTCACGAACTATGAGGCTCTGGACCACTATTATCCTTGTTACAGGAAGAGTCAACACTCCTGGACAGAGTCCACAGGCAGTGGGGTGGGCAGGAGATTGGACAGGAAGTGGGGAGGGGAGGGAAGGCTTCAGGCTGAGTGAGGGCTGAGAAGGGGCAGTGGACGCCCCAGCAGGCTGGTGCTGGGGGAGGGGTGCTCTTGGTTGTCCCAGGCCAGACAGTCCCCTACATGCATGTGCACGCCCCACTGCACAGCCCAGCTCCATCCTGCCCACCCCTCAGTTTCACCTCCTTCAGGAAGCACTGAGCGTTGCCAAGCCCCAACTCAGCTGGGTTCCTCACAGTCACAACTTCACTGAGTCTGCCTGATTGTCCCAGGAGGTGGGTGACAATTATCCTGAGTTTATACCCGTGTAAGCTATGTGTCAGGGAGGTGAAGTGATCTGCCTAAGGCAACACAGCTAAGAAGCAGCAGAGGCAGGATTTGAGTGAGAACCCGGCACCCATCTTCCCCTGTGCTTCCAGCACAGAGTATGGGCCCCTGCCCTCCAGGCCCCCTCCCCCGGGAGCACATTTTCAAGCTTAGGGAGGGCCCTCGTTCTGCTCTGTGAGGCCTGTCTCAACTTGTCACTGTGTGGGGAGCCCAGCATCCTGGTAGAAGTGTGTCAGGTCACGGTGA